AATAATACAAAAACCAAAAAAAAAAACACAAAAATAAATTAGTTTTTTTTTTTTTTTTTTTTTTTCTTCTTCTGGTGAGAACAGGAATCTCAAAACGACTCCACTAATTTCCTTCAGGCATGAAATAAAATAAGGCACAAAACCATAACAATGGTTTTAAGTTTCATACACTTTAATAAGCAAGACTTATGTTTGTTACTTGACATGCTTTATGAGGTTCAGCCTATTCATCAAGCAGATTTCTTAGAATAAATCATTTTTACTGATATTGTTAAGTGAATTTTTGTGGCTGCACGTTTGTTTTACTGAATCCAGACTAGGCTGAGTTACGACAAAGTACTGTAGCAGCAGGGAGCTGTTGACCATTCCCGTGTTATTCCTCTCAACACGCATCCACAGTTAGCGCAGTACAAATCAGAGCTTCGGAAATGGTTCTACAAATCAACATTTTCCCAGAGGAGAACATTGCTTTGATGCGGTGCTTTTCAGACCGCGGTGCTATAATTTGCACAGCCATCCTCAGACGTTCTCTCGGGCGTCTCAACAGCTGATTCATACAGCACTCTGTTTGACTTTTATGTGACTCCTGGCCGACGGGGAGCCGGGATCACTTAGGTTGGTTGCCATGGTTGTGAGGCAAACCTGCGCGGTATGAAGGAAAGATCTTCCCCGAAGGCCTTCTCGACGGGCTGCATATTTGTGCATTGTGTGGACAAAGCGCAGAAACCTCACAAAAGCTGAAAGAAAGCACGCAGTCCTGATAGACTTACTGACAGACGGGTAGCAGAGGAAAACACACAACGTACTGAAGATTGCAGCAATATCTGCTAAAAGCACACAATTAACTTTGGATTTGTTCCCTCTTCCCTCCTTTCCTGATGCTCGGCTGTCTTTCTTTTAGCACAGCAAGTCTACAAACTGGGCTAATTTAAGACACAATATCATTGAAAGAAAAGCATAGAAAATCAAGCTCAATTTGTGCATGTTTAACTCATGAGAGGGAAAAAATAACTTTATGTGTTTATTTTGCATCTCACATAAAATAAACCCATATATTAGGTTCTGTTGTCCCGCTACATTCCACTAATGTCTTCATTCCAATACCCTTCCCTTCGCTGCGTCATATAAAGAGACGTAATTGATGGCTGCGCAGAAGACAAATGACCGCATTAGCTGGCCTCCTTTTATCTCATCCTTCTTCCTGTCGGTGGCGTTATAACTCTGTTTGTTTGTTGATGTCTCTCAAATTACAGTGCCGACTGCCAATCATTACTGAATCTGTGGGGCTTTTCTTTCCCAGTAAATTGTGAATCTCCTGTTCACCAGAAAACTCCTGTTACTGCAATTGGGATTGAGTATTTCTGTAGAAATCTCACAAAACTAAAAGTGTTCATCATCACTTCCTTAATAGAACTGAACAACTGATCAAATGCTCGACTTGTGAGTCTCTGCACACGACAGGTTAAATGTTAAACAATGTGGTCCTGTGACAACAGTGCTTAAAAAGTCTACTGAGAATTGCCTTGAGTGTATGAATTTGGTTTCTGACATGACTTGCAGTCTAATTCCATATTTATACAAACAATATCGATACAAATTAGCTTCAGTGTCCAAATATCTCACAAAGACAAGAATGTTATCTTTCATCCATGTAGGTGGTGAAAGCATGGAGAAAAAAAAACAGTCTTCTTTCAGTAAATTGGTTAAAACAGCTGTTTTTATAGCTGACTCTTTTTGTTAACTAAGTTATTTATTTACATAATCAAGTCTGTTTGAAGAGAAGAGATGTTTGGCTTGGAGCTGAAAGAACAACTCGTTTTAGAGTAATACAAAAACCACTCGCTGTGTAACGTTGCAATGCTTTTAGTGAGCTTTGTATAAGCAAACAATTTTGTGAAAGGAAGTTTATGTCGTAGGTTTTACTAAACACAACTCTACATTTAGTGGCTTTCCTAAAAAAGAAGAAGAAACAAGGGGAAGCTTTTAAAATAAGACCAAATATGGAAAAATGCAAGCACAATTATGTCACATAAACATTTTAAAGTGATTTGGGAAATGCCTGTGTCTGCTTTGCACAGCTTGCAGATTTCATCTCTTTTGCAAGATAGTTTTTGCTCAGTCGGATTAGATTTGGATTTCAGGTCTGGCCTTTGACTGAGCCATTCTAATTCTGTCCTGCTAAAAAGTGAACCTCCACTTTCTTTGGCAGCTTCTAACAGCTTTTTTTTTCTCAAAAGACAAAAAGCATCCTTAAAGCATAATGCTACCACGGTACCTATGGCAATGCTGTGTTCTGGGTAATGTACATTGTTAGTTCTCCACATTTTTGATGAAGGCCAAAACAATTACATTTTTGTCTTATCTGATCAGAGCATCTTTTCTCTACATCTTTGCTGTATCACCAATAAACTGAATTTTTTAAGTATGTCTTGCACTTAACTCAGATTTGATAAGTGCAAACTCTCCTATTTAAACTCAAAATCTCTGCAGGTTCTACAGAACTACCTTTAGGTATGCAAGTTCAGACGGATTGCCACGTCATAAGATTTGTAGGTTTGACATACTTTTCCACATTTCTGTGATGGATTGAACAGTGGCCAGTGAATTGTTACACACTTTTGAACAATTTTATCCCTGACCTGTCTGCTGTGTTTCTTGGTCTTATTGGTACTGTTTTTCATTAGTGCAGACAACTTCCAATACAACTGGATGCCTGGGATTTCATTACAGGTATCAAAGAAGTCAAGGGGACTGGATCAACTTTTCAGATTTATATTTTTTTTTAATAATTTTGAAAACGGTGTAACATTTTCTTGTTCTGTGACTGAACCAGAAACATGGAGAGATGGTAGCAATAAAAGAACAAGAATAAAATCATCAACAGTTTTCTCATCCTTCACTGACTTCTTATTTTGATGATACAGAAAAATAAAATAGTCAAAGTGATGAATGATCCAAATAATGGTTAATGTGTGAAACACATTTTCTGTATATCCAGAGCCAACAGTGTGCAACAGTGATCCTCACAAGCAAAAGAAAAATAATCGGATGGTCTGTTGCCACTTGTCTTGTACAAGCTGGATGTTAGAACCGGCCGCCGGTGTTTGTTGACTGATGGGAGTTGATGTTGACGGGGAGCGCTGTTTGGTTTGGCAGGAGCGAACATTGGCTGCCGTTCTGCAGATGAAACCATGTGAGTTTAGCGTGTACTTTCAAACAGTTACGAGCTGCACTCCTGCAACATTGCTTGTGTTTTCTCCCAAACGGCCCAGAGCTTACGAGAACTTTAGAAGAAGTAGAGAGGGGGGGAAAAATAAAAATAAAAAAATCACACAAGTCCAAATTCAACTCGACAAAAAGTCGGTCTACTGAGGAGCTAAGGACAGCATCACAGTCAACAAGTATTTAGAAAAAAGAAAGGAATACAGAGAATGACAATTTAGTGTTTTCTGTAGCAACTAGCTTAAGTATGAACTACATACTGAAAAGGTTCAATAACAGCAGCCTTGTGCTATACAGCATCAGCTATCCTTTGCCTCAACTTTGAAATTTCATTTCATGTTCAAAGCCTGAACGAGCAGATGACACATTTACCAACAAAAATAGGGTATTGCCCCTCCAAACCTCAGTTAAAACACTGTAATCTTGCGGGGCTTTCCTATAAATCACTGGCATTTCAGGGGAGGATAACAGCCTGTCTTTAACCTGAAAGGCAGCATTAAAGTGAACAACCTTAATGACATGTCTGAGGCTGCGTGTTCAAGTCATTCACTTTGGATCTCTTGCCCACCAGCCTCAGCCCTCATATAACGGCTATCAGCCGGAGTGAGAGAAAAAGCCCATGCTAGATGGACAAAAGGAGCAGACGCACAAAGAGGCAAGTCGGTGCTTGGCGCGTCAAACCCTGAATGAAATGATGGAGAGGAATCAACACAAATCAACACAAACTGGAGGGGGATGCTCCCCCTCCAGTTCTCTAAAAAAAACTTATGGTTTTATTCTATAAAAGCATACAAAGTGTCAGGGAGAGCTTGCAAAGGAAAGGATGTAAGTAGAAGGAGCTCTGTTTATCCCCCACAGCTCATGCCTTCAGCAGCAAAAACCAACAAATCTGAGCTGCAGATCTGTTGCAAGAGGTATAGATCTCTGAGTGGGACATATCTGTTTCATCTGATGCACACACACACACACACACACGACTCATCCGTATCTTAACGACACCCACACAAACATCTGCACATAAACAGTACAGGGTAAACATTTGCACTCAGCTCGTGTTCACGAAGCTACAGCTGTGACGCCTAAACACACACACACAAGCAATTACCTTGAAAGGCGGCCACGTAGCGCGACAGCAGCAGCTTGAGTCTGGAGCTGTAGATCTGCAGGAGGTTTTGGACGTCCCGCCGGGCCGCCACCTGGTACTTCTCCTCCATCTTTTTGGTGCAGCACGTCGAGCTTTTGGACGTGCACACCTGGAGATCGGCACCTTAAAGCAGCCGACATCAAGTGTGAGGATCTCAAAATGGTCATACAAGCACATAAACAAAATTAAAAACAATAAAGTAAAAGTAAAATAAAGTAAATTTAATGCTACAAATTGCTCCCAGAGCAAATACAGATCCTCTTAAGCACCTTTCTCGGTCTTCAGAAATCCAAGCCTATAACACATGAAAGGTATAAACTGGGGATAAGCATGTTGCCTTTAAGTTAATCCATGTAAAACTCCCCTTTAAGACAAACAAATCTGGTGGATTTGCCACCCCAAACTGACCAGATTCATGAAAGGAATGTACATTGTGACAAAGAATAACACTTTTACCTTCGTCAGACTAAAACTACAGCAATATTTGCACAAACTGGAGAATGAACACATACAATTGTAATAAAAGTCGTGAGGAGTGTAAGTGTTGCTCTTGAAAGAAGTTATCCTTTTTAGTGCCTTGTAAATGTGTAAATATCACTTAAACATTTTGTGACATTGCGACCACAAACCTTAATTCAATTTTAGCGAGATTACAACATAGTGACATGGAAGGAAAATGAGAAATGCGTGCGCATGTATTCTACCCACTTTATTCTGATCCAGCTAATAAAACCCAGTGGAGCTTTCAAGAGTCACACCTTTGTTAAGCACAGAGTATCTGTGCATTAATGAATCTTACTAAAACACACAGCTACTCTGTGAAGGCTTCTGAAGGATCTCAGAGAAAATTAGTGAACAAATACCAAGAAGACTAATGATGACACCAGACAGGTCAGGGCTGACGTAGCTTTGAACATCATCTAAAAACAGAGCACCATCTAAAAATGGAGATAATAATAGACAACTGCAAATCTATTTAGACATGGTCCAACTAAGCTGCACATAATAGCTGTGTTAATCGCAATGAAAGATGATTCTATGAAATGTTAACTCAAAGGAGTTGAATACAAATGTATGGCACACTTTCAGGATTTGTATTTGTAAAAAAAAATATTGCAAACCATGCAAAATATGTCCTTCCTTTTCAAAATCAAGTATCTATTCCTGCACTTCAGCAAAGCCAGTTGTGAAACCCCTAAAGTTTGCACATTTGGACAAGCCAGGTTGTGGTATTGCAATATGCTTATTTTATCATATTTTATTTATTTATTACACTGAAAAAAAAAAACTTTTTTTCTGTCTTGAATAAGACTGTACATATACATACTGTTCAGTGTTCCCTGTATCTTGTATTTCCTTTAAAGTTTATGTATTTATAGTTAATTTCTATACGCCGGGAGCCTGAAGTCAAATGTCTTGTTTTTGTTAAAGGGATATAAACACAAAGGACTGTATGGAGACATTTTATAATAAAGATAAATCGACAAATTATCAACTGTTAATTTTAAAATGTATAAAATACTTTCTTAAGTCATCAATAATAACCTCAAACATTACTGATGTTTATCAAACAGCTAAAATTTAATTTAGAAAATCAAGTGTCTCGGGAATTGAAAGTCTCTCCGAATAAAACAGTTACTGACTCAAACAGATGAAGTCTTGGATTTCCTTTCAGACACAGATACAAGCCAGCGTGCACCAGATACAGGACAATCAAAACATCCCAAAGGAGACCCAAAACGCTGCAAAAGCCTCCACGACAAGCCCAGACAGAGTTTGCAGACTGTTGTCAGACGCTATTAACTCCCTGCAAGCTCTGATGGTGAGCAGAGCTAAGTGATGGCATACGTACTGGAATTCAAAGTCTTCCAGATAAGATTGCGTGAAAGACTTGCTTTTTTTTTTTCCACCTAAATGCATGCAGGGGTCTATTTCCACCTTCTTGCAAAGAGGAGTTGCGACTTGCTATGTTTTGACCCAGACCGAAGTATGTTTGTTGCTTGTTTTTATTGTCAAATTTAGATACATTTTTTCCTCTGTCTGCGGATATTTCTGCAGGCTGTTATTCACAAACCTAGACTCTTGTTTTAAATAAGTGCTGAGATCATTCTGGCCCACCAACAATAAAAGCTGCTATCTACCATCTGTTGTACTTCGGAACATCAAGCTGAACCCATCAAGAAAGCGATTTGTATCTTTCAGCTGGCGTGATGGATTTAGATGCGACAGGGTGATAAGAAAACTGTCAGCTGTGACGTATTTCACAACAGTAGCTAGTGTTTTTACAGGATCTTATCTCTTAAACTACTGAACACCGCACTGCAAACAATTTATCTGAGAGAAAACAAATTTTAGTTTCAGCTATGACAGAGACCAGCCACAGAGGCGTATTTAAGGAGAGGATATGTGGCACTATAAGGGAGGGGGGGTTTAGGAGGTTGTTGAGGGTTTTCTGTCAACCCTGTCAGGAGCCATGGAGTTTACAGGCTACATTTTGTGGCAGGATGGCAGTCAACACCATTTAGCTTTGCTTTTCCAAAAATGAGGACAGAGTTCAGCAGGAGCACCAGCAACGAACCATCCAGTCAATGACGGTCCACTAAGAACACCCACAATCCCTCCCAAATTTTGCACATAATTACCATGGGTGGCATTCAGAAAGCCAAGTTTACCTAACTTTAAACAAAATAATTCCTATTTATCCCTCAAAGCCACTTATCTGTAGTAAACACCCAACGGGGGGGGGGGAGTTTCTGTACATTTCAATCAACAAGTAATCTCAGACGTCACAGGGTTAAGACAGCATGACTTACACCAGCAGATTCACAAATACAGCACATAATGCTGCTTAAACCTATTATTGTCCTTCTGTATTTTAAGTTTTAAAAAAAGTGAAACAGTGCTACTCTTTCATGAATATTTACTTGCATTTAATAGGATATAAACAAAGAGTTTGTAATTAACTCAATGGCTCAGCAGCATCCAGGTTGTTCAGCCCAAACCACCAACCCTGCATTTCTCTGCTGACAATTAAAGATGCCTTTTTACATTACTGTATTATTACTATATTTACTACATTCAATTAAAAAGCTGATCTTTTTCAGCATTTGTTTAGAGGGACTGGTTTTATAAATCTTGTGTGTTGTTCCAGTTCAGTAGTTTACTGAAATGAAATGACTTAATATTCAAATGGGTTGAATATTACTGTGCTTGTGCATCCTCTAGCTTGGAGACCATAAGACTATTTTGAATCATTTCCACTCAGCATGGACTAGTTTGTTTTAATTTCACTGCTGCTAATTCAGAGATCAAAGCCGATATTAAATAAATGCCAGTTCATCAGCCGCAACTGACTGGTTCTCATCACACTGGTTTAATAAGGCTGAACCTTAAAACATTTATGAACAGCGTTTTTTCCAAAGTTTATGAAAATACTCCCCCAGTGTACTTTGCAAAAAAGAGATAAGTACGTCCTAGCAATCAATTATGCTATATGATGAACCTGAAAAACCACTTCACATAACTTTAGGTCCAAAAAAAAGAAAGAAAAAAGAAAAGAAAAGAAAAGAAAAGAGCAGACCGGTCCTATATCAAATCACATTAACTAGAAAACAGATGGGTTCTGTGAAGACCCAACTCCTCCGCTTACCTGATCTGGGACTTGAAGGTAGAACCTGATTTGGTCCAATTTGCCTGACTTGAAAAACTTTATGCACCTCGCTGCATGTGTCCAGCTCTCCGAGTCCTGATCCGCACAAACATAGAAAAACGCAGTACCTTAACAGCGAACTCATTTTAGAAAATATCCTAATTTATCTAGAGAACGTGGAGCTTCTTGGAAGTCAGGGTTCCTTCTTCACACATATGCAGACAGGTATCGCAAGAGTACACATTTCAAGTTACAGAAACGGAATTAAACCGCGATAGAGACGGTTTCTGTGCGACTCAGACTTAAATCCAGAAAACGATTCAAAGTTTCTGCGGTGCGACTCTGAAATCGCATGCTGTCCAAGTTGGCTGGACCGACAGCAGAGGCGGTGCCACCGGGTTACCTGCGTAGAGGCGGGTCGCTGAGTCCAATGGCGCCATCTAGTGGACACCCAGTTTTATCATTTTCCCCATTGCACAAAAACGTCAAATGATCGGCTTTGATTAAGCCATAAAACCCGCAGAACAAACGCCTCGATTTAAGCAAACATTTAGCTTGCACATTTTCTAACGTTTGACATGTTAAGAGTAATAAACTTCAGCTAATAGTGATTGTTCAAAAATAAAAGTTACAATTTAAATCAAACTAATAGTTCAACATAAGATCTAGAAAAAAAAAGCATAAATGTACAGATGGCGAAGTTGGACACATTTTTTATGTTGGAAAAAATACTGCTACTTTTAACAGTAAAGGGTAGATTAAATAAAACTTTAAAAACATCAACAGGACATGGAAGAAATCAGAACAGTAATTTTGTTTTAATTTTTTTTTTATTATTTTTAAAACCACACATAAACATCTACATAAAAAAGCAATGCAAAGAGGAAACATGCATATAGCCCATACAGATCACATAAATACACAGGACATCATAGTTGCGCAGCGGTTTGGCTAACTCGAGGTCTGCTCAGGTCATCTCCCAGTTCCTTTACAGGCCGGGACAAGTGCAATACCTACAGAACAACAGCATTGCCACTGATCCCCACCTGAATAGGACAGGACATCTCAACCAACCCAAGCAGGACAGCAAGCGGTTTCCCTCAGAAGAACATGACCCGTCAACGTAATCAGTTTTGCATGGATTTGCACAGCACACATCTGTTAAAGCTGAATGCAAACCAGCAAAACTGACCAAGCGACGAACAGATTTGACGTCGACTACCCAGCCCAGGCCGCGAGAATATACAGTTGGAAATACTTCAAGTGCTTACATTGCAGTAGATATGGGGACAAACACTACCTGCACTATAAGCACTTTAGTACTGCAGAAACTGTGGTCAGAGGATGAGAACCAGCAAGCAATCCTTGTGCTGCTTATAAACTGTTTGCTTCGTATTGTGCAATGATGCTCTTGATGTTGACACCCCAAAAATCATGGATTTAAAAACAGGTGTAGAGCAAGCAGGCCACCATCAGTTTTGCATAGATTTGCACAACTCATCTATTCTTGTAGTGCAACTATGCAAAACTAGCAGTGAACTGCAAGATGTATATTATTTTTTTGCCCAATTAGTAATTAGTACTGACTTGGCGGTGCATATTACAGCCCCTTATGCCAGAAGGAGCACTTAGGGCAGTAGGTGCTAGTCTATTTCACTATCTGCACTAGATGCACCTTAGCACAAAGACAGTACTTCAAGTGACATTATAGCAAAGCAAAATTTACAAACAAGTGTCTGTGTATTGCTGTAAGTGCCTCCACTGCAGTAGGTATCACATATTACTACCTGCACTGTAAGCACTTTGACAATGCACAGACAGCATCACTGCTCCCCGGCAAAACCGAGACGCTCATAACTGTCCACAGCATGGGCTTCAGCACCTCGTGGTGGATCTGAAATAGGAAAGTGAAACAAAGAACACAATTAGGACAAGTCAGATTTCAAGGCGACGCAACAGAAAACCTATGGGGACAAGTCTAGAAGGAACAACAAGGTCTAAACGCCATCATAGGCAGTGGTGTTTTGACTGTTGTAGACTAAGAGCAACACGAGGTCGCTGAAAACATGAATGAGCAGAACCGCTGCTGCGCCTGCGCGGAGAGCCAAAGCCGTTCACCCCTCCCCCACATCTTCTAACATGGCGCCTCGAAGTGCGCCAACGTTAGCACTTCAAACGACTTTAAATCAGGCGAGCTAATACAGCATTGTGTGTTAAAAGTATGGAAATTACTTCACAGCTCCGTACTGTTTATGTACCGACCAAAACGTGTGTTGTGGTTTTTCAGCCGCCATGAGGAAAAATTATAAACAAAACAAGGCTGTGGTTCGTGTCGGAGTAGCACCCGCAGGTAGCTTAGCTGCTACGAAATGCTGTTTGCTTGGTTAAAAGAAAAAATAACTTCCAACATCCATTATAGTTACAAATGGAAGTGGTGCAGGGTGATGTGTGGTATTAGAGGAAATAAACTGGTTATCTTAATATTAAGACAGACAGTATTTAGTTAAACACGAATTAGCCGCTACTGAACTAGCAAACATGTTTAAAAATAAACCAAAAACCACGTGTGCCCTTTCCCCATTTGTTTGGTCGTCCTTACTCTACATTTTGCATCAACTTCTACCTTCTAAGTGAAGGATTTTAGATTACCGGGAACTTTACTAGTATACTGATGCGCACAGGCTAGGCTAGCTAAGCTAAAACGCGCGGCCTAGAGCTGCCCCATGTGCTGCTGCTTTGTTCTGGGGGGCACTTTAACTCACACACCACTGCACTCGACACTCAGCCGCAATTTGAGCACATTTTTACAAACTAACTTTACACAAGCCGCACTTGTGTCTTTGAGTGCATTCTGCTCTAATAGAAAGGCCGGGTATTTTTCCACGCCGCTCGCAGCCGAGAAAGGTCCACGCCGCTTTTTCAAATCTCCCTCATTCCCTCAATGGTGGAGCTGAGGGGGCTGCCATGCGCCTCACGCTACTCTTGTTTTCATCGCCAACACGCCATTTAGACTGTGTGTTTATCCTTACACAACACTACGAGCAAGAAAAAACAAGTAAAAGGACCACGGTGCACAACACTGGGGATTTATTTCAGTAAAACATGCGCTCAGACCCGACTTCCTTACCGATAAACATGCGCTCCACTCACCAGCCGAAATCCACCATCTTCGCTCACTTGCTCGGGCTGCCGTGCTGGTCTCACGCCGACAAAAGAGGCGAATAAAACCGCTACTATCCCGAAAACTTTTCAAACAGCGGACAAAAACGAAGCATAAAGTGAAGTCGGAACCCACATAGAGCACATTTGGAGCCCAGAGATGCTTCTTAGAAATGATTGCGGGGTTAAGAAAGTGGCGCGAAGGCGACCAGTTGGTAACCATGTGGGTGAATGAAGGGCGGCTCCCACTGAACGTAAATATCTAGCTACAACCCCCAACTCCCCCTATTAGCATACATAAACTACGGCACTTCCGACATATCTCAGCTCTTTTCTGAAGGAGACAGAGAGGAACGGACAGGGGGGAAAAACTCTCTGTTGGAAAGCTTTTAATTAACAATTAAAAAGAAAGTAAACTCAGTACGCATTTATATGGGTATTTAAACTCGACTGAAAAACATACATATACAACCTTATTCTTAGAAATTAATTTGATGTAAAGCAAATATTACAGAATGCTGAAGCTAATTAGGGCATATTTAGTTCTTCAGCTGCCGTGTGTGCAACTGGAAAATCAAAACAATTAATTAACCTGTTGCTGCTTCACCACTAATTATGATTACCCAACACTGTGTTATTGTTGCACAAAACACCGTGTTGCTCATAAGTTAGTTAAATACTTTCAGCCTCAAACGAAGACAAAAACTGCATTTGGTTATTTTACTATGAAGTTTTTTTGTTTTGCTTTTTTCTGCAAGTTAATTTATAGAGCTTTACAACGTTTACTTGGTCATTATTATCTGTATATTTTCTGTTGTTCTTTGCAGGGGGAAAATCTGTGCAATTCCTAAACTAAGGATAAAAAATTGTATTAAATAAACCAGCATTTCGTTACACAATTATATAGCCGCATTTTTTCTAAGAATCTGAAGCCCATGTACTCAGATGACATTTGTTTAATATTTTACATGTGCATATGTTTGTATGTTTATGTCTCTATGTTTCTAAATGTTATTTCACTACTCAAAAAATATGTTAGACCTGTTTTACCAACTTGCAGTTTTTCTGCACCATTACCCAAAAATAGAAAGTATTAATCAGAGCAATTAACCCTGATTAGAATTATATTGATTCTGAGAATATGAATTGAAACAAATTATAATGTTGTTTTATATATTTTTTAGATAAAGATAAAACAGAATAATAGTGATTTTAGATTTTTTTATCTAACTTTTAAGAAAACTATATTTTTTTAATACAAAAGAATAACAAATTTACACATATAGGAAGAAGCTGTCAATTTGCTCAGTCTGCTTAGTTTAAGCACCAAAACTAAACGTCTGCAAAACTGTCCTGTAAAATTTCTAAGAAAAAAAAATCAACTTTGAAAATGTGAATTTGTTGAAAACAATTAATTTAAGCTAACTTTAGTTATGTTTCTCTGTGTTGAGTTTAGTTTTTGTGGAGGGTTTTTTTTTTATTTCTTGTTCAGAAACCTTCAAAGTAATTCACACACTAAAACTACCAACACTTTGGTTTGTATTATTAACAATCAAAATATTTTTTAAAGATAATTTCAAAATGTTAAACATGATAGAACTCATAGAGAAATTGAGAGAATTTTAACTTTTCTCTAGTTAAAACAACAAAGCTTGATGTTTCAGAGGTTTTACAAGCTAAGGCGTCAAACCACATCAGAAGTAAACACTGCAGTAAATCCTGCACTGATGCTTCCACATTCAAAAAAAAAAATTGTGTTTATATCAGCAAACTATTTTTATCGATAATAGAGGCATTTTGAGAAACGAAATAATTGTTTACAGTAAGTGCTTGTAGTTTTGAATTGTTTTAATTATCTGAATGTGTGGGGAATGTTAACCCTGAGCTCTTTAACTTTATTCAAATTTTCTTATACTAAATGAAAATCGACGTGACCCTCATTCAAATTACATCGTTAAAATCCACTCAACCACATTAAGACTGTTTTAGACATTTAAAAAAATGCAAAAGAAGGACACCTTATCTGCATTTCATTGTGGTTACTTCAGAATCAACTGAAGTAACCAATGCAGAAGAAGGATAGTAAATTGCAATCTCTCAAGGAGTTTAGCAACAATCTTCTTCTGCTGTAAGTGGTAACATTTTACTGACTCAGTTCATACATTTACCACGGGTTTATTTTATGTTATTTTTAAAATTTTGGGTATTATCTGCAGTTTTACTGAAGAAAACCTCTCCAAGGCCTAAAGAGGCCATTTGGCCATAACTTTTACTATAGAGGTAAATATGAATATTTAGATGTGTCCTCCCACCAAACAAAATCTACGGGTAGCACCCTGCTGTGCCAGTAAAGCAGTGTCTCTAAAGATGTCTTTGTGCATATCATAAATATGGAAACAACCAAATAAATAACAAAAATAATTGTTTTCACAGGAGTAGAATAACAAAGAAGTCACAGATGACCAAATAACCATCCAGATACCTCCCATAATCCCCCCTGTTAAGCAGAACCACAGCGCAATTATTATCATAATAGTGGTTGGATGAAATGCATTAGAGAGATTTCATTTGGTCAGAAAGTGTTAGCGAGTATGCGTTGTATGTGTTCTCCACTTCAGACTTCATGTTTTATAAATAAGCAAACAACAAAATATTCTGCAAGAAAAAGGCCTGCAGCTCAAGGTTTCTGCTACTGAAGCCTGTTGACTTATGAATTAAATCTTTAAAAAGAATTAACGTATTACAGTATATAATGTGGCCAGCAGAGGGAACCATCAAACTAAATACTGTACTGTAATGACACGATTGTTGTGAACAGTAAGTGGGAACTCTTGCTTCCCTATCACTGAGGTTTCTGTTGTTTCAAATTGGTTAGTTTTGCCGCAGCGGTCAGCAAAGGGAATGGAAAAGCAGGTGCCGAGCCGTGTGCCACTGGTTTTATGTTCCCCATTCAACACAGGCTGGTGGTCAATTAGGTAAGATAAAGACCCATCACAAGATTTGGTCGACTTTATCGAGAAGTCTGCGTTAAACTCTAATCCCCGGTCACCTGACACTGACAGAGAACTGGACAGCAGCTCGCCCTGACTGCTCTTCTCCACTCCACACTGTGGGAGTGGGAGCGCTCAGTCATGACCCCCAACCCCCCACACAAAGCCAGTAGTTCCTCTGCATATGGAAGTGAGGTGGGGGGTGGATGGACACGGGGAGGTTGTAGACTTCACATCGTCCCATGGGGTCAGATAAAAGCTTACAGCTCTCCTTCTTTAGACCTCCCCCTCTGCCCTGAGCTCCGGCTGCTCTGCACAAGTGCTGTAAAAGATTTATCAGCAAAGTAGGTAGCAAACCTAATGCAACTAATGCAAGTAGCACCTTCAGACAAGACATGATTGATATATATATATATATATATATATATATATATATATATATATATATTTTAACAAAGAGTGTTTTTTTTTTTCCAGATTTGAAAAACAAGTAAAAAGCAGGTAACAGTTTTCAATACTAGATTGTACTTGATATCCAAAACATCCCATCAGATAGCTGGAGCACTTCTTTTCCTCCATTCTAAAATGGCCCACCACATAAGCCCCTCCCACATCAGGGGCCGTGAGCCCGGGGGTCTCTGTTTTGTTCTTCCTATAGAAGCCTGACCGCCATTGTCTCAGCACGACCCCAGGGTCAACTGAACTCACCTCGCTCGGCCACGACCCATTCAGATGTGAAGCTTCACATGGGATAAAACCATCTCTAAAGGATCCTTTAAGGCGAGGGGGTGGTCAGACGCTCACACACACCCGCACACACGCGCATCCGTACACACACGCACACACACACACACACACACACACACACACACACACACACACACACACACACGCATATGTTCACATAAAACAAACACACCACCTTGGATCAAATGTGTTTCTTTAGTGTATAAAGAAAAGCAATGTTCAACTCACTCACCTGACCAGTTTTCTGTTCAGATTACTGGATAAAATAATCAGAAAAAGAAGAAGACTTTTAAAGTGGCTGCAACAGGGAAGGTAGTCACAGAAAGTCAAAATGAAGTCATCTTTGACACATTTTGTCTTCTGTTCATTCAAATAGATCACCTTTAAGAGGGGGAAATCACATTTTGCTGGAGGACAAGAATGAGGCCATGCATGCCAGTCATCTGCAGCTTTTAGTTCTCTGTTCATGGTTCCTTCGCAGCCTGAAGGCCTGGATTTGTGTTTCAGTAGTTTCTCGATATAGACTTCTATGAAAAACGAAAAGATCAATTGAAAACTGTTTGTGTTTCCAGACTTTGGTCCCATTATCCGTCCTGCCTTCCTTCCTTCTTACTTTCCTCTTTCCTTCCTTGTGTTTTTCCTATTTACTTCCTTCCTTCCCCCCTTCCTTCAATCTGTCCCTCCTTTGTTCGTTCCTTCCCTCCTTTCTTTTTACCTTATTTCTTTATTTCCTTCTTTCATTCCTTCTCTTTCTTCAATCCTTCCCTCCTTCCATCCATCCATTCTTTGTTCCTTCACTTTTTCCTTCCTTGCTCCCTTCCATCCATCCTTCCATCCTTCTTCCATCCATCCTTCTATTCTTTCTTTCTCTCTTTCTTTCTTTCTCCCTTCCTCCCTTCCTGTTGACGTTGAATCTATGAAAGCATGGATCTCCTACATGATCACAGGAACCCTGTCTGTACTCAAAATTTACAGCCGCAACAAATTTAATAAATGAATTGAATGCAATCTAGGAGTTTATCTTTATCTGTGAACAGAAACAGCTGAGTTCAGCACAAAGGCTCTCCTGTCTGGCGTCTTGCTGTCAGAGACAACAGTGTCCCCGGTGGAGGCGAAGCTCATGGAGGCTGACAGGTTGAAAATGTGCGCCATGATGTGGCTGAAGGAGCATGAAACATGTTCACTCATGAGCGCCTCGCACATCGCCACAGGAGACAGAGCGACAGTTAAATGAGTGTTTTTACATAAATATGTTTTCTTTACCTGAGCTGGTGGTTTGAGAGCTTTTAGGCACAACACACACATGTGCCGCTCTGCCAAGAAAGCACTTCAATTGTTCAATTCAGTCATGAGTGAGAAAGTTAAGTGAGAACAGGGAAATATTTTCTTTCCCGCTCATTTTACACAACTTTGTTGGTTTTATTCTTAAAATTGCACCAACTAGGGAGGCGAAGAAGCATTCCAGGCAACATTTCAGCTGTGAATAA